AGCCAGTTGAGGTATAAATGTGTTCTTGTGCGAAAAAAAAAAAGAAGGTCAAGTCGATAGACATAAAGACGACTTGTGTCACAAGAAGATTTGCAAATATCCTGGCATTGATTATATAGAGACATGTTCTCCTGTGGTGGATGTCGCCATTTCAGGTTTTAATCTGGCAATACAAGAAAAACGTGATATGCGTATAATGGAAATCATTGAAGGATTTAAATTGTTCTGAAGCATATTAAGGTTTCCAAGTAATTTATTAAATAAAGCTTCAAAAATCCTTATACGGATTGAAACAATTAGGGCACATGTGGTATAATCGCCTGAGTGAGTACCTGTTGAAAGAAGGGTACAAGAATGATTCAATTTGTCCTTGTGTCTTTATAAAAAGATGTGGATCTAAATTTGTTATAATCACCGTGTATGTTGATGATTTAAATATCATTGGAACTCCTAGGGAGCTTCCTAAAGCAGTAGAGCTTCCTAAAGTAGTAGACTATCTAAAGAGAGAATTTGTAATAAAATCTTGGAAAGATAAAATTTTGTCTTGGTCTACAAATTTAGTATATGAAAGATGGAATTTTTGTCCATCAATCAACATTCACTAAAATGATTTTAAAGCGATTTTATATGGATAAAACACATCCATTCCGACCTCATGAAAATAATAAAAAGCTTCTTGGTCCCGACGTACCATATCTTAGTGCAATTGGTGCACTAATGTATCTTTCTAACATTACAAGGTCTGACATAACTTTTTCAGTTAATGTCTTAACAAGATATAGCTCTGCTCCTACAAGGAGACATTGGAATGGAATCAAACACATATTGCAGTATCTAAAAGGGACTATCGGTATGGGATTATTTTATGAAAATGATTGCAGTCCTGATCTTGTTGGTTATGCCGATGCTGGGTATTTATATGACCCACAAAAAGTTCGATCTCAAATAGGCTATGTGTTTACATATAGAGGCACTGCCATATCTTGGAGATCGACTAAGCAATCAATCGTGACTACTTCATCTAATCATGATGAGATAATTGCTATTCATGAAGCAAGGCGAGAATGTGTATGGTTGAGGTCTATAATACACCTTATTCGAGACAAATATGGTTTGAAGTGTGACAAACCACCCACAATTTTGTATGAAGACAATGCAACATGCATATCCCAGTTGAATGGGGGATTCATAAAATGGGATAGGACAAAGCACATTTTACCAAAGTTATTTTTTACACATGATCTTCAAAAGAATGGTGATATCAATGTGCAACAGATCCGTTCAAGTGATAATATGGCTGATTTGTTCACCAAATCTCTACCGACGTCAACCTTCAAGAAACTAGTATACTTCCTTACAAGGTTTTGTCCCACTGGGTTTTCCTTGCAAGATTTTTAATGAGGCAACCAAAAGGCGTATTTCTAAATATGTGTACTCTTTTTCTCTCACTAGGATTTTTTTTCCCCATAGGGCTTTTTTTCTAATAAGGTTTTAACGAGGTACATTATCTATGGACATCCAAGGGGGAGTGTTATAAGAAAAATCAAATTATGGTGGATGTCTATTCTTCTTCCATGATCTTCTCAAATACTTAATGACATATTCAATGACATATTTCTATGCTTAATGACATATTCAATGACATATTTTTCTTCACTTTTCATGCCTATATAAAGGCCTTGTAATAGATAGGAAAATACATACAATTGAAGAAGAAAATCTCTTCCTTCTCTCTATCTCTATTTCTTGTTCATGTTTTACTAAATTGCTTTTATTTCATAACAATATGTCTTGTTCATGTTTTACTAAGTTGCTTTTATTTTATAACAAATTTTATATTTTAAAACTTTGGACAAGGACTGCAATTGTCCAAAATCAAACATTGACAAGGATTTCGGTGCGACTTCCAGTCCCCTGTCCCCTCGTTAAAATCTCAAGCAATTATATTACTGAGTATACAAGTGAAAAAACTAATTAGTATATGGAAATTAAAGTAAATCAGCCAAGTGCAGTGTATGAGTTTACATAGGTCGGGTTGGTTCGAATTTTTTAATTATAAAACTAAACCAATGGTGTCGGATTTTTAAATTTATAAATAAAACCTAACCAAACCAACAAAGTCGGGTTTTTCAATCTCGATTTTTCTCGGATTTTCGGGTTTTTTCTGGTAAAGTCTTCATAGCATAAAATATGTAACTTGTGCTCCAACTATTTCTTAAGTCCTAATAAAATACAACTATATAATGTGTTTTCCATGAAACTAACACAATAATATGAGATAAGTCATCGCATTATACTAAAATATTCAATAACAAAGATAAAATAATAAAATTACATAAAATAAATATTGCTAATTAATAAATCATAATAAAAATTAACATAATCTAAAAATACTATATAGGTCATGTTAAAATAAATATAGCTAATAAGTACTAATATTAATTACATAACTAAGCACTAAAGAAAAAGATAAACTAAGTTATGCATTTTCATTATAAACCAATGTAAAACTAAAATAATTATCCAACACTTTCGTCATTCCTAGTATTGAATTGAATTTCTTTTGTTAACATTAGTATTGATTTGAACTTTGTTTGAGTTACTACATTTATAGGCTATAAAAAATTTTTACCATTTAAGAATGTTAAGTCTAAACTTGAAATAATACGTTAAAAGATAAAACAATAAAAAAACTTAAGAAATATTTATAAATTATATTATAATAAATATTTATATGTATTAATTATTTTTAAAAATTATATAAATGTACTATGGGGTTGGTTTGGTTTCGGTTTGACTATTTTTAGTTAAAACCAAACCAAACCAAACCAATTATGGTCAGGTTTTATTTTTCAATACCAAATCAAATCATACCAAACCACATCAGATTTTTTTTTGATTTGACTCGAATTATCAGTTTGGTGCGGTTTATCGATTTTTTTTGTACACCTCTATTTGCAGTATACAAATTAGTCATTAATATCTTCCTTCTTGTTGTCCTTGTGTTTAACAAAAGAACTGCAAAGAGATTCATTCACCATCTAATAAGATTACTCCATCCTTCCATTTTAATTTCTTTTAGTTATTTTTTATACATATTAAGAAATATACATTGTCGTATTAATTAATAATGAAATTGATCATATTAACCGTAACTTGTTAATCAAAAATATAACGAATACTCTTAGGATCTTTACTTCAATGATAACTTTGAAAAAAGAAGTTAATTCCTTCTTGATATCTAAAACAATCAAAGATTGTGGACCACAAAAAAGCGAAAAGTTAATTAAAGTGGGAGTCCGGAACCAAAGTGTGGTTCTTTTGGACTCAAGCAACACAAATAGGTTTAAAAAATAATTGGGCACTATTTTATATATAGCGCGGTTATTCACCACGCTATACCTTAACGACAGTTTTGTCCGTTAAGGTATAGCGCGGTGAATAATCGTGCTATATTTGAACTTAAAATGGGCGGGAGGTATAGCACGCATATATAAGGTGCTATACTATAACACCTTATATATGCGCTATATCTATATAAAAATCTGTGTCATCTCGCGAACCAGCAGACCCCCAAACCAAAAAATCAGTCTCGCCTCCATTTTTAAAGAAAAAAACTCAGTGGAGCCCACTCGTCCTTCAAAAAGTATAACTTCTCGGTATTGTAGCAAGCTTACACCGGATCTAAAGCGTTATCGCGTAGTGGATTGCTCGTTTCGGCCCCTAAATTATCAAATCATCACCTTTCAAAAAATTATAATTCGAGGTATTCCGACTTACCTTTTGTTAAAATTCATATATAAAAATGCGTATTAGTTATTTTTTACTGTGATCTATGTTTTTTCGTGATTGTTTTATGATTTAATTAATTTGTTATTTTTTTATCCGGATTAGATTATTGTTGGAGTAAAAAATTAGTAAAATAGATAAATTATTATTTTATGAATAATTAATGTTATTAGTTGTTATAAAAAATATTTATTAGTTACATTTTACTGTGGTATATATTTTTTCGTGATTGTTTTGTGAATAAATTAATTTGTTATTTTTTATCCGAATTAGATTATTTAAGTGCTAAAAGATTAGTAAAATTGATAAATTATTATTTTATGAATAATTAATGTAATTTAGATTTTATTGTTGTACATATATTAATATGTGACTTTATTATTGTTTAGTGCCCCTTTAGGATTATGTTGTACCCGTAATTATAATGTAGTGCCCGTAATTATAATCTAGTACCCTTTAGCATAGTAAAATATAGTGCCATTTAGCATAGTATCTTTGTAGTTATTGAAATTAATCATTTAATTATCTGTTAACCCCAAAAATATTTAGAAAAAAAATAATAGTTCAAACACAAACTCTCTCGAATGTTAGTTAACAAATGTAAGAAAATAACATAAAAAATAACAATATTTGTCAAACTAAGTATTTTTATATTAATACTTATTAATTAAATCATGTATAATTATAAAATAAGAAACAAACATATAAAATAAGAAACAAACATAGAAAGTAATAAACTAATATATAAAGTAATAAACTAACATACAAAATAATAAACTAAGACATAAAATAATAAACAAACATATAAAATAATAATAAAATATATAAAATAATAAACTAACGTATAAAATAATAAACTAACGTATAGAATAATTAACTAACATATAAAATAATAAACTAACATATAAAATAATAACCTAACTTATAAAATAATAATGAAAATGTATCAACTTAGGTAATAATATAGTAAAAATATAGATTAAATATTAATATAAAAGATATTGCAATATATTTAAAGACGTTAAGCAATCAAAAGGAAAAATACTTTAATTAATATTGTTCAATTTACACACATCGTCATGTAGGTTACTCATGTTCATCCCGGACATGCATCTCGAGAGCTACTGTTGCTACAGGGCAACCATAGGTTTTCATACATCTGGGATGGACAGTGTTTATCCTAGACATTCTGCCCCAGACGTATAGTCGATATGTGGGAGTTCATTAGGGACCACCCACTCCATTCCCGTATAGTTAGACACCTTCAGGATACGGGTTTCTACAGGATCATAGAGATCGGCTGGTTGCAGTTCGACCGGGCATTGATCACGGCTATGATAGAGCAGTGGCGACCGGAGACGCACATGTTTCATCTACCCATCGGTGAGGTTGCCATCACGCTTGAGGACATAGAGGTTCTCTTCGGGTTGTCGGTTGATGGATTACATGTAGCTTACCTGCATGCTCTTAGAGACTATATGGCAGTGCATTACCTGCATATGTTGCAGCGACTCACCGGTTTTCAGCCAGCGGAGGAGACTGCATTGAGTGAGGCGAGTCGATTGCAATTGACGCCCGTCCGGCAGCATCAGGATGATATCGACTATGCGGAGATTACGGATGTTTCACCGACGGAGGATATCGACCGGCACACGAGATTGTTGTTGCTACTGATGTTTGGTGGTGTACTGTTCCCGAACACTTCGGAAAACCTAGTCAGCTTGAGATTTCTACATCATCTGGAGTGGCTAGATGATTTACCTGGTTACAGCTGGATGCAGCTGTTCTAGGTTACCTGTATAGGCAGATGTGTCGGGGGTGCATGGCACCTAGAGAGACGTTGCTAGATTTTTACCGCTACTGCAAGTGAAAACATAGTCAATTCTTTTCAGGATTATAACATACATAGTAAAAAAATACCTTAAATTTTACGTCCACAATATATATTAGGTTTGAGCCTGGGAGCGGTTCCTGCAGCTCCACCCACCTCTACCACCGATGGCTCCGGATGAACCACCTCTACCGTTTCTCCCTTTTGCTTGGAGGTGGGTTGATAGGCGAGGCTACGGACACGAGTTCGAGGCTCGACATCATCTCCCCTGTTACAGGGATTTGTTGGATTTGCTTGAAGGCGCGCAGGTACATGTATACTTAAGTTTACTTGGCCTGGCTTTATATCTGTTGCGTTTACTGACGATTCTTGTGTTTAATTAATAGTTCGTATGGAGGTCATACAACGATGCGCTCATAGCTGGTTTGCCCGATTATTGCTCTCGCAGCTGAGCTATGTGGAGATCTTCCGTCCCACTGATATGTCTCGATATTGTCGAGCATCATGCCACTGAGCGAGCCCTTCGCCAGTTTGGTCAACCGCAGCTTGTACCTATTCCGCCCACTTGGATTAGGACACATTACCAGCGGGATGATGATCCAGGGTTGACTAAACAGACTTGGCCTGGCTAGAGGCCCATATTGAGGTTTGGGACCAGAGGTATGACCTGATTCCTCCACCCCTGCAGCTGAGTGTACGGATGGCGAGCATGAGTATATGGGTTGGTATCGCAGCGTTATCTGACTTTTCGTCGAGAATCCCATTCATCGCGCTGGAGGTCGGTACATTCCATACGCCGGGAGGCATGAGGCACAGGTATGTTAGTTGTTATACTTACTTATAACGTTACATTATCCTTACATAATTAATAGTTTATATGTTATGCAGGCTATTGGCTTACATTAGTTCTACCAGTTGGGACTGCAAATGCTCCAGTATACCGGCGAGGGAGCGGTAACTTTGCATGGGTATAGCCATCAGGCTACTGATCTTGCTGCCGAGACATTAGGACATGCCCTAGATGATGAGCGCTTAGGATACGAGGCTACTTATTTGCCGCCAAAGGAGTATCATTATGGGCCACCAGTGGAGCCTGAACGTGGTAGACGTGGCCGGCATGGTAGATAGAAAGGTGTGTCCCACGAGGTCGTGGTGGTCGGCGAGGACGGGGTCCCCAGCAAGGGGGCGTTGAGGCACCCATGGATGATATTAGAGATGATCAGTCGGGTGACCACCCTGAGCCACACGATGCACATCATGACTTGCCGTCATTCAGCTTTCAGTTGTTGCCAGGGACTTCGCAGGTGACCCTGTCAGCTCCATTTTTGATCGCGGGCATGGCCATTATGCGACATGAGTAGGATCAGTATTTTCCCGATCCCCCAGAGCCATCGACGGTTGATGATTCTCGTCCTACACGAGAGGTTCATAGTGGGCGACGACTGAGTTATGGCTCATCACCGAGGGATGCTGAGAGTCTAGCACATACTTCATCTACTCCAGTGCACCTCAATGTTCCGACAGAGCCTTGCGGCGCTACTCATGCACATGTTTGTTTGTATTACTATTATTTCTATTTGTTTTTATCTCATTGATTAGTCAGTAATATCTAAAGCGTTTTTATTTTTTTAAAGACCTCGACATCACCCATCACGGAGGCCGCATTGTGTAATATTGAGATGCCAGAGACGGATGATCTTATTCAGGAGCCCGCTGAGACCATGGTATGACCATTAAAAAAAATTCCTAACACGTATGTTAGTAATTATTATTTTATATAGTAAAATATTTTATTATTTTGTAGGTTACTGCCGGCCCTAAGGCTGCTTCTACCAAGTCTGCCAGCTTTACCGACGATCGTGCTGTAGCGCATCCTCCGATAAAGAGGCGACGTAATGAGGATGATCCTGATAGCGTAGCCGAGCGGGATGGGATGCACCTCAGGCCAACCAATGCTTTAAAGCATATAATTTGTGAGACACATTGACATTTATTATTTTTTATATATATGACATTATTTATATTTTACATAATTTGCGCATGTATTTTTATTTCTCAGGATATTTATTAATTTAACACTTCAACACAAAAAAAATCGATAACTTAACATAAAATTTAAATTCGTTACCAATTAAAGATAATACATGACACGTACAACATAAAAATAAAATATTATACTCAACACATCAATGTGTTTGTTTAGTCACTATCGCCCATTATTCTCTGCTTCAACCACTTAAATTTCTCCTCCAACCTATTTTTTTCTTCTTCTGTCTCTTTTAGTTTCTCCAGCAATGCCGCAAGTTGTTCTTGTAGTTTCACGATCTGGAGTTCGTATTCACCGATCAGATTTCAAATATTTAGCAAACATAATTTGTAGTATTCCTAATTAATGGGTTCATCATACCATTCATCAAAACCACATTTCTTTTCGTCCTACCAATGAGAGAATAACACAAGACTATTAATTAACATGTTATATAAAAAGTATTAACAAACATTTCTTCCAAGAATAATAACTTACAACTTGTTTAGACATCCAACGTCTGCGCTCCAGATTGCAATTTGACAAACATGGCTTCAAAATTGCACGTTTGCTACAGTAACACCTTGGTACGTAATTTGCATCCAAACATGTCTTAATGCTCGAAAATCGAAATTTAATGGAAAGTTTTTTTATTCGTTTTGTTACGACGCAAATAATAACTAAAATGCGCAAGGTTTTTATAGGCAGCTAAGAGTGATTTTAGGTTACATAGCGCATATTGGTGAGGCGCTATATTTCGCGTGATAATGATTCTTTAGGGTACAAGTGCGTCCAGCTTTTTCAGGCCATCAGCTTTTTCAGTCCGATAGCTTTTTCATGTTGACATGACAATACACATAGCGCATATTGGTGAGGCACTATGTTTCGCGTGATAATGATTCTTTCGGGCACAAGTTGGTCTAGCATTTCAGGACATCATCTTTTTCAGGTCGACATGACAATACACAACGCATATTGGTGAGGCGCTATGTTTCGCGTGATAATAATTCATTCGGGTACAAGTGGGTCCAGCATTTCTTATCAACAGCTTTTTCAGGTCGACATGACAATACACATAGCGCATATTGGTGAGGCGCTATGTTTCCCATTCTTATAGGTCGACATGCAGCTTAGTTCTTCTTAAGTTGAACCAACATATCAATATTCAAATACCATTTGAAGAACCAGAACAACATCTAATTCAGAAATGCAACTAACATTTAATAAGTGGTTTACGAAGAGGCAAAAAGGTGAAGGTAGTTCAAAAGATCCAAATGGTACACGTCATAACACAATCGATCCCTACCTTGAAAAGAATATGCTAGGTTGCTATACTGATTTGTTTGATGACAAGTTATATGGTGTTCTGCATCCCTTGGATAATAAGCCTATCAATATACAGTATACACACTGATCTCAAAGTTGCAGGACATATTATTAAGGGCGAAGCGCATTCTACAAAGCTTGAAGGTATGCGAATTTGGGGCGAAAAACTACAATGGGTTTTCCTTTACTCAAAACAATGTGATTATGAAATACTATGTCACTGGCATGAGCTTGTTGTACCAAAAGCACTATCTGCAACCTTCCAAACAAACACACACAAAGATGAACCAGAAGTGATTCGGCATTTGATGAAGGAGATTTTAGAGATGGAAAAGGCACTTGTTGTTCATCATGCAATGGATGATCTTAACTACCTAGAAGGAACGGAGGATTAGTACTGGAATTTATTAGAAAATGAAAAATTGCATATAGACAATGATTATCCTGTTTTCCCAATAGTTGTCGAGTGGGAGGGACTACCTAAGTTTCTATCATAGATGTTGGATGTAGGAGTCCCATATTGTTGTAGAAATCAAGCAAGTGGTCTTATTGATGATAGCGATGAAATACAAGAAATGTGTGTCAACTAGGGCCTAGATTACGATGCCCTTGGTCCCGAAGGGTGCGTACAAGATGTTGACAAAGAAAATGAAGTCGGTGACAATGAAATAGTGACAGACAACGATGATAATGGCGAATGACAATTATTTTTTTATTCCTTTGGGTGTATGTTAAATTGTTGTATTGAATCTTTAATTCTAAATATAAATTAGATTTAATCCCATTGAAAATATAATTTTATTTCATACATTTTGCAACCTGAATATTTTCATAAATTTAGTACAACAAAATTACTCCAATAAAACACTACATTTATCCTTGATAATAGGGCACATTGGATGAACTGGCACCTGGAGCAGAATTACCACTGCTTCCCAAACCAGTTGAAGGACATTTACGGAGGTCGTGTCTTGTTTGGGAACATATACCACATTTACGCGCATAAATGGTATCACCAACATCTATTTTGTTCCGTATACGCGTTCTTTTTTGCACTTGCCGTTGACGCACATAATCCTTGTTACACACCATTTTAAATGATTCCGGCAGCCAATAATGCTCAGCACCCACTGGCTGCAACTGTCCATTAAAGGTGTTTAAGTATGCAGCAACATTATATTCTTTATCAACGTACGTCGCTGTTGCGAAATCTGTATGTTGAAAGCACCTCATGGCATGTGAGTATGGCAAGTGATAGATTGACCATTTTCCATAGGAGCATAATCTTCTAGCTTCATTGACGGTATGTGTATTATTCCCACGGTTGTGATGCAGACCGGTACGAACTTCAAAAATATTTCGCTTGATGCAATACTGCAAAAATGAATGCCATTGTGCTCGCTTCCTATATTTCTCAAATCGTTTCATTGGTTGTGGTATATATTCAACACCACTTTCGATCAATGACAATGCACCTCTAGATATTTCAATAAATCTCTCTACCATCTGCTTGAATGACATCTATACCATGGCACTGACTCGCAATCCACGTGCAGACTTCAATAACCCATTGAAAGACTTTGACACATTTGTAGTCAGAATTTCTCATCTTGTACCACAATCCGCATGCAAAGTACACTTGTCAAGCTCATGTCGTATCAACCAACGATAGGCTTCTAGGTCTTCC